AATTTTCATAATACGTGTAATAAAAGTTTATAATTTGATTACAATATTTTTTGTCACGACAATTTTTCATAACGCCAAATATTTTATAAATGATATTATAAAATTTTACAACAAAAGTAATCTAATTTATAATAGGGTGCCTATAATATTTGCCCCCAAAAAGGGACACACCATAGTGTTGTCCTTAAAATGTATATAGCAGCATGACCCATTAATAATAGAATATGTTTTGGACTGTATTTGTCACACTTGTCATCTCTCTCGTTCTTTTTTCTTTTTTTCATTTTTTTTGCCCACCTTGGTGCCACTTTGACACTTAAGAAAAAAAAAAAAAAAACAATAAAATTAAATAAAATTAAACACTATGAGTTGTTAGTTTAGATCCAAACCCAATTCATTCAATTTTGAACAAGAATTTTATGTCTAATTCATTCAATTTTCAAAAAATAAATTTTTCTTCCTTACGAACTTCCAAACTTGATTTTGTTCTACTATGTGTTGAATGATTATAAAATTTGTTAGCCAAGGAATTCATGCATATCAACATGAAATTAGAGATTCAATTTTGTCCATTTGCATGTACCTTATATTTGTTTAAAGTCTTTTTTATATGTGTCTCTTATTTGATTTTCTTTCGTCAATTGACATAAACAAAAACAAAAATGTTTACCATGACCAAAATTTTGGAACCACTACTAAATCCAACAACAAACAGCATATCATTTCAAAAGTTATATTTTGAAAAGTTTAGAATAAAATTAAGGGTAAATTATATTGTCTCCTTGAATTATTCAGTATTAATTTACTCCCTTGACTAAAAAATATTGTATTTTTCCTCCTCCCATTATTAATTTATATAAATATGAACCTTCACAAAGGATTCACTACATAAATGGATGAAAATTTAATGTAACTTGCATATAACATCTCAGATATTATTCAATACTTGAACTTCATTTTCTTTTCCTCTTTTTTTTCTGTGTTTTTAATCCAAAAAAGTAGCCATGACGACCATAGTGCAGTCAACCATGACTGCCAATGTCGGTAAGAGAAAGGACTGAAGGAGAAGGAGAAGGAGAAAGGAAGGAAAAGTGAAGAATAATATTATTTTTAATATTTCACAATGTTTAGATGTCATGTGTAAGACTCGTATCAAATTTTTATCCATTCACGTAGCGAATTCTTAAGAAAATATTCATATTGATATGAATTGATAGTTCAGAAGTACAAAGTATAATGTTCTTTAATAACTTACTTTCAAAATTTTATTTTAAAAATAAATAGGGATAGTCGAAGATGGGGAGGTAATGGTTGAAGCTCAAGGTGGTTCTTGTCGGCGATGATTGGAGGGAATTGTCAGAGGTAATAGAAGGAGGAGGGAATGACAAAATATTTAGAAAACAAGAGGGAGAAAAGAATTTTTTTTTTTTTTTTCTTTTGGAATAATTCTACGTATACTAATAATTTTACTAAAAATGCAAGAGGCTGAATATGAGTAGTTGTCAAAAAAGCAATGATACCTAATCATGTAGTGATGTTTGAACATGTATATTTTTAATAAGAATTTAAATTGATATAGTATTACTCTTTTCTTTTTTCTTTTGTTGTAGAATTTAATAAAATTTGAAATTGATTCCATTTTTAAAAATGAAAATAGACCCCAAACAAATTTTGCAATCAATTTTAAAAAATTCTGTAAACATAAATACTACCAAATAGACTGTAGCATATTGGTCAACGAATTTTGTATCTTAGAAGGTTAGGGATTTGATGTACGAGTCTTTTCCTATTATATTTGTTTGGAATCATTCTTGTGTTTTTTAATTTGTTATAAGTTTGTGGTTGTATTTGCATTTATTTAATAACTAGCTTTTTAGTCATGCTTCTATTTAAATTCATTTTACATAAATAGTTTTTAATATATTTTTTTTGATCAGCTAAAAAGAGACTTTATTGATATAAAAACTAGTACAAGGTACGAAATAAATTACACCAATAAAGAAAAGAGGAGTGCAGGAGCATCACAATGAGCTAAATGATCCCAATTAGGTTGGCACCAAAAAGCCCATCATATCATTTGCTAGCACCCTGAAGTTGGTGAGGAACCAACGAGAGAGACAGACCAAAATACCAAACCAATGCTGCTATGCTGCTAGACATCATCTGCTAGACACCAGCAGCAACCCACTAACAGATCATACTAACAACCAGCATAAAAATATAAAGATACTCCACCCAAAACACATAAGCAAATTGACAAACCACACCTCCTTGTATCTGTTTTAGCCACCAGTCCACCCAGAACAGACTCTAACCTCCACACCCTGATGATAATGCACTTCACAGTCATACCTTGTAAGAAGGCATCCACCATCTTGGAGCATAGCCCATATCTGAGACAAAACACCCAATCCATACCAGACATCATCACAGCAGCCGCGATCAAGACACCCAAATTCATCACAGCAGCACAACAGATGCTAGCAGTAGCCTCAAACTCAGAAGTAGCCTCATACCATATCCACCATCTTGGTGCATACCCATACCATATCTGCAGAAGTAGAAAGCCAGTAGCTCATCTCAACCAATTCTGCTGGTAGCTAAACCAGTCAACAGAGCAGCAACAAGCATAACAGAGCAGACAGTAGAGCAAACAACTGAAACACTGCAGCTAGCAGACAGCAGCTTTTTCTGATGCAGAACAAACAAGACTCAACCAGATAAATACCCATAACAGATACACACTCAACCACCACTCCTCAGGCAGAACTTGACCTGCTGCAAGTTGTACACCAGATCATTTACAGAAGCTGCCACCTGTAGTGGCGATGCCTTAGTCCACAAAGCTACTCAAACTTTCACAATGTCGCTTAGAGCTTCAAAATCTGGTTGTAGTCCATTGAAAACACACTCATTTCTATGCCTCCAGAGAGACCAAAGAGTTGCCATAGGAATGACCATCCAGATTTTCTTCTCCAATTTTGACATACTACACCCATACCACCACTGCAGCAGTCCATCTATAGAACCTGGCATGACCCATTGAAAACCCCACCATCGCACAATGTTTGACCATAGCCTCCAAATAAAAGGACATACAAGAAGAATATGCTCCACAGTTTCAACATCATTATGGCAAAACACACATTCAAGATTGACACCCCCATCAAGTATACCAATTCTGTGAAGAAACCAGGAAGTTTTGACCTTACCAAGCCATGCCAACCATCCAAAAAATTGTACTTTAGGAGGAGCAAAATTATTCCATATAGAGCCTGCCATTGCCATAACCGGACCAAGAAGGGATTCACTCCATTTATATGTTGATGCTACACTAAACAGCCCAGATGACTCTACTGTCCATTTCAATACATCTGATTTTTCACTGCAAAGATCTGGTGCACTTCTGAGCAAACAGACTAATCTACGTACTTCCTCCTCCTCCCAAGCCAACAAAGTTCTTTTAAACTCAGGGTTCCAATCATCAGCTACACCCCTATTCTCAAAAAACACCCTTACCACCCTATGCTTATTATTAGATAAAGAGAAGAGTCTAGGGAATTCCTCCTTTAAACACACGTTACCAATCCACTTGTCCAACCAGAAGTGAACTCTACTCCCATCTGCCAAAGCTATCTGAGAATTATGAATATAGAAATTATGCAAGTCTGGATTCAACAAAGCTACATTAATTATATCAATCCAGATCTTAGAACCTCTACCTACCAAAGTTGGCAACCATTTCCCATATTGAACATTATATTTTGCGTATATCACTTCTTTCCAGAGTGTGTGATTCTCAGCTCCAAACCTCCACCACTATTTTAACAACAAGCAGTCATTGAATGTTCTAATCCGCCTCAACCCCAAACCACCTAGATTCTTATTCTTTGCAATTACCTCCCAACGAACTAAATGCACTTTTCTTCTGAGGTCTGATCCACCCCACAAGAAAGTCGATTGTATTTTCTCAATCTCCTTAGCCACCCCAACAGGAATCTTGAACAATGATAAATAGTAAACCGGTAAATTGGACAAAACTGACTTGATTAGAGTTAACCTCCCGGCAAAAGAAATTAGTCTTCTCTTCCAATTAGCCAATTTCTGCTTAAGTTTGACAAGAACAGGTTTCCAAGTACTTCTCCTACTTGGGTTGACCCCCAATGGCAAACCTAAATACATTATAGGTAGCTTTTGATAGAGGCAGTTTAGATTACAGGCAAACTCTTGCAATAGTCCATCATCAACCCCAACACCACAAATGACACTCTTGTGGTAATTTATTTTCAACCCCGAAGCCATCTCAAAGCATCTTAAAATTCTTTTGATATCACAAACTTCCTCCTTCTTAGCTTCACAAAACAAAATAGTGTCATCCGCAAATTGCAAATGAGTTACCCTTAAGCCATTGGACCCCACCTCTACCCCATTGATTAAGTTTAACTCTTTTGCCCTACTCAGTAATATATTGAGACCCTCTGCTACAATGTTGAATAAAAACGGTGACAATGGATCACCTTGACGAAGGCCCCTTTGTGGGCAAAATTCAGGCGTGGGTGACCCATTAACCAAAATAGAAATCTTAGCAGAGGATACACAAGCTTTCATCCAACTCACCCATCTAGATCTGAAGCCAAAGTTTGAGAGCATGTTGAAGAGAAACTCCCAATTGATTGAGTCATAAGCCTTTTCAAAATCCAATTTGAGAACCAAACCTTTCTTATTGGATCTTTTCCATCCATCAACAATCTCATTAGCTATAAGAATCCCATCCATAATGTTTCGACCACCCAGAAAAGCTACCTGAACCTCACTAATAATCTTGGGCATCACTTGTTTCATCCTATTTGATAACACCTTTGCTAGAATTTTATACATAGAACCAATCAGACTAATAGGCCTATACTCTTCCAAACAAGAGGGACTATCATTTTTAGGAATTAAAACAATGAAAGAGCTATTGATCCCACCCACCAGACTTGCATTTTGATGAAATTCCCTCATAAATGTATCACATCAGATTTCACAATTTTCCAACATTTCTTGAGAAAAGCCATGTTGAATCCATCAGGTCCAGGTGCCTTATTCCCATCACAAGTCTTGATTACAAAACTAATTTCCTCTTCAGTAAACTCTGCCTCCAATTGTTCAACAACTTGTGGTCCTCCAATGGTCTTGAAGTGCCCAGATAATTTAGGTCTGACCTTCCAATCCTCAGAGAAATGCTTTAGAAAGTGGGCCTTCACCTCAGCTTTAATTTCCATCGGGTCCTCCAGCATTGTACCATTCACAACGATGGAGTACAAAGAATTCCTACTATTCCTGCTACAAGCCATGATGTGAAAATATCTTGTATTTTTATCCCCTTTAAGTGCCCAATTCACTCTGGATTTCTGCAACCAAATCCATTCCAGCATTTTACTAAGCCTCCAAACATCTCCCCTCACTTCCTTTCTTCTAAGTATTTCTGTGGGTAGCAAAGGTCTGTCCTCAGCAAGCAAATCAAGGGCATGAGCTTCTTCTTCAACACACTTGAGCTTATTTTCCACATTCCCAAATACCTCCACATTCCACTGTTTTAAGGCTTGCTTCAGGGCTTTAAATTTCATGAAGCATTTAAACCCTGCCCAACCCTCCACTACAAGCCCAGACCAACTGTGTTGTACAAAAGATAGGAAATTAGGGTGAAGTAACCAAGCATTGAGGAACCTAAAAGGTTTAGGTCCCCAATCCCTATCATCCTCCATTAATATAATAGGATTGTGATCAGATAACAATCTAGGTAGGTCCCAAAGTTTAAAGTTAAAATTCTGTACCCACTCATGATTGAGTAAAAATCTGTCCAGTCTACTCCATTTCGCCCTATCTTGGGAATTACACCAAGTAAACTTCCTCCCAAGCATAGGCATATCGATCAGCTCAAGTTGTTCAATCATGTCATTGAAATCTTCCATCCCTCTATCCCTTCTAGAACACCCAATTCGTTCTGAGATAATCTTTATTTCATTAAAATCACCCCCCAAGCACCATGGTCCTAGAAATTTGGATTTCAATCGAACTAAAAGATTCCACAACTCTTTTCAAAGCCCCACCTCATTAGGACTATAAACATTAATAATAACACAATTGAAGCTAAAAAACAGTGTACCTGCCAGCAGGATGAAGTTATGATTACAGCAACAATCTTGCAGCTGGAACACCTCAGATTTCCAGATACACAGCAAGCCTCCAGCTTTTCCAACTGCATCAACTGCCATAAACTCCAAGTGATCCCCAGGCCATAGAGATTTTACCAAATCAAAATTATGTGCAGAGATCTTAGTTTCTTGAAGAAGAATAATATCCACTTTTCTATCCGTAATGTTTTTCTTTAACTTCCTTCTTTTCTCTGGTCTGCCTAACCCTCTCGCATTCCATGATTGTATCTTCATTAACATACTAAATCACATTTGCTCACCTGGACATGCTAGTCTAGATAGCATCTCCCTCCCTCTGCCTTACTTTTTCTTTGTCCTTGGCTTCAAGTGCATTCAGTTTACTAATTACCTCCTGTTCCTTTCCTTCACAGTCCAGACCAAGAACTTTGCCAATTTGGAGTGAAGCTTCAGCCCCTGACAGCATTCTCCTACCTCTACTGGTTCCACTAGCCATTGATAATGATATGGCAGCTACAACTGACTTGAAAACAGCCCCCTTTCTCAAATTTAGTGATGATGCCCTCAATTTCCTGTTAGTCACAGACTGCCCCTTCTTCTTCTTCGGGTGTTTTCTTCTACTTGCCTGCCCTTTCTCCTGCAAAGTAGCCTTTCTTGCTTGGCCTGGGCTTGTATCTTGACCCCCCATTTGGCCCATTTGATTAAGGAAGCCCACCACTTAACCTCGAGATGCCTTAGATGAAGATGACCCACTACTACTCGAACGGGCTAGCCCTACCTCTCCTTGATTCGACCCATCAAAATTTAAGTGGGCCTTATCAAGATCCACTTCAATTTGAATTCCAAGCCTATTCCCTGCTGAGCCACTCAAACTTCTAACAAACCTAGGTGTGCAGATTTCCCCATCTAAACTCCGCCTACCACCCTCATTGATAAACTTGGAACTTGTCCCCACCTTTGCAGACTCACCCTCGCATGCACCTTTAGCCTCTGACACTGCCATCAGCATATCTGTTTCTGCCACCACGGAGACATCCCTCAACCGGTCCTCCCCCTCCATGTTAACATCACTATCATGTGGAGCCCCTTTACCCACGCCCACCTAAGCACTCCCGTTATCCACGGCCTCACCAACATTAGCAGCATCAACCTCCTGCCTACTGCCTTTGTCTGTACACTGAATCTTTTCCACCCCCTGTGAAGAGTAACTGTCACCAGTCTTCTGTTCCTTTGAGTTGCAAGCACACTACTCCTTCACAACATGTGAAACTATAATTTGTTCTTCACATACCCTAACAGGGTAGATTACACCTTTACACTCTAACTGGATGGTTTGGTTAATGGCCTCCATACAACTAGTAGATATCCTCACTTTTCCACACTGGAGAGACATCAGCCTACTGGTATCATCGTCCATACCTATCACTACACCCCAGACCTTCCCAATACTACTGAATGTATTGTTGCTCCACAAGTTCAATGGGACTCCATAACAACTAAGCCAAACACTCATTTCCTGTGCAATAGCCATCCCTTGTCGCCATGCCAAAACTGATTGACACCAGTCATACAGCACTCCTTCATAAACACAAGTTGTTCCTTCATAGCTGCTGCTGATTGAAATGAAAGAACAATATCTCTCCCACCACCAAGACGCACTATGATATCCCCACAGCCTCTCCTATTCATTTCCTCCCTAAAATCATCTATGGAAGCTAATGGTTTAAGTCGCATCGCACTACTGCACTTTCATAAAGCCATCCATTACCTGCCTCGTAAACCTTAATGGTTCTGCTTGCCAAAGATTCCGCTCCCCTGCCACTCACTACCTCCGCAAATGATTTGATTCCCCTATATCCAGCCGTGAACGGGTGTTTGCCCTCTAATTTCTTCCTGATCAGTGGCGCATGGTCCATTCTGGGTTTGGCCCCTCCATCTTTCCCAAACTCTGCCATTTTGACTCTCAATGCACAGTCACCACACCACAACCCATTTGCTTTTTGAACTACCATAGCCGCTGATACAGCACAGTTATACCTAACAAAGCCAAAGCGAGATCACGTTAGCTTTCCTCGCTTATGAGGGATAAATGTATCTGTGACCACACCATAGTTGGAGAATATCTTACGCAACCCGCTGGATCCCATGGATTCAGGGATATTATCCACAAAAATAGAGTGAATAGTTGCTTCCTCCCTTCTGCTCCACACTCCCTTACCTCCATGTCTACGGACCACTGGTTGCCATCCTCCATACCCATGTTGAGCTCCCCTCTCCATTTTCTTGTAATGCAAAAAGCCCCAAATCTATAAGAGTATTAAGATCTGAAAGCAGAAGTAAGAGATTGAGGGAAATAGTCGCTTGATCACGTTCGCCACTGCCCCAATCTCACCGGCGCCGTTGGTCGTTATCTCTGTTTACTGATTGTCGTCGTCGTTGATCGCCTTTGATCGCCTTTTGTCGTCGTCTCACAAGGGTGAAAAGTTGATTGTGAATGATCAAGAAACCCCAGCTGCAGTTGCCAAACCACATTCATGCCTCAGATGTTTTTAATGTCAAGCAATAGTTTTTAATATATTAATGATCACTGTTTCGCAAATCAATTAAAAATTGCATGTCAAAATCTAATTTTAAAATATGCATTACTATGCTCATTAAGGAAAATGTTAGGCATCATGAAAAATATTTCATGAAAATGATCATGAACAAATCTCCATCCTTATATTATACTTCATAACTTATTGTATATCTATTCTAAGAGTCAAAAAAATTTCATGATTTCATAAAATATTTTTCATGATACCTACCATTGCTCATGAATTAATATGATATAATGAGCATATTACGATTTGCCTCTCTCAACTATAGACACATGGGGTCAATGGCTTTGAAAGTCGATATGTGCAAAGCATACCAACTAGTGGGGTGGGCTTTCTATTGAGCTGATGAAGCGAATGGGTGTTAATGGGTGATGGCTATCTCTCGTTAAAAATTGTGAATCGATTGTCTTCTATATGTCATACTTTATTCATAAGATTAATAGTGAAAGTATTAATAATCCAATCAAATTAGTGTGATATTCGTTATCCAATTGGATTAGTAGGATAATTACCCCCTTATTCATTGTCTGATTTGCATTAGATAAGAAAATATATGAATGTAGGATTACAACTATATTTATCTTCTTTTCCAATCTTACCGTCCATCAATATTTTTTTACAATCTTTACTTTATCAAAATTTCTTCATAAATGTAGTCTTGAAAAAAAATTATAAATAAATAAATAAATGCAAAATACAAAGCCATATTTGGTTTGTTTTTTAAAAAAAAAAAATTTAATATAAACTAATTTGATAAAACAAATATCAAAAAATATTTTTAAATTTTTGAAAATTATTTTTAGCCTTCTAAAATATAAAATATATAAAAATAATAAGTGTTTTAATTTTTAGCCAAGGATAAAGAGTATTTTTATTTTATTTCCTAACTCAGGATATATAATCTCACCCCTACACCGTTACTAATAATCCTACAAATTTGTTGGATTAATTATCCATTGGATTAATAATCCTCAAACAAAATTTCAAAACAAACACAGAATTATTGGGCCTATAGATTAATAATCTCAATCTCATACTCTAATCCTATCAATCAAACATGCCCATAGAGTATTGGTTAATGGGTCTCCAGTTGCATCTTTCAATCCATCTAGAGGCCTAAGGCAAGGTCGTTCTCTCTCACTGTATCTATTCATCATCTGTGCAAGCTGTTTTGTGCAAACTGGAGATTGGTGGTGCACTTCCTGGTGTTCAAATATCTAGAAGCGTCCCAAGCGTTTCTCACTTATTGTTTGTAGATGGTTCCCTTATGTTCTACAATGCCACAGTCAAACAGGCCACAAATTTAAAAAATGTATTAAATGTTTTTGGTCATTTGTCAGTGTTAGACTATCTTCACTATATGAATTAAATTTTTGTTTGTGTACTCAATAACAAACAGAACACAAAAAAGAATAAATTTAAAAGAAAGATTTTTCAAAATCTGTTTAATTACAGAAACCAAACGGAAATTGGAAATAGAGTAGAAGGAAGGAAACAATAAGAACAAGAAAATACTTACCGAAAATATTTTCTAAGAATGATCAAGTCCAGTGTTTTACACTCTCTCCTTAAGACAGATTCGTCCTCTCTACGATGCTCAAAGATTATGGACGTCTATCTCTCAAGATGAAATGATCTACAATGAATAGTAGTAGCACTACCAACTGTTCGCACAACAAACACATTTTGTGTTTATACTATAGGAGAGCTGGTGGCTTTTCAAAATAGGTTTCAATAGGTAAAAACCTATTTGGGATAGTGTTGAATAGGTAAAACTTGTTCGAACAGATAGAACCTGTTCAGGTTGAAATTTGAACAGATAACAGACCTGTTCAGTTGGAAAAAAATATGGACAGGTGTGTTGAACCAAACTGCCAACGTTTCAATATGTTGGGGTCAATTCAGAATTAAGTTTGAATTTCAAATTGAAATTCAAATTCCAAAATGGTAAGAATTTAATTTTGGAAAAAATAAAATTCAAATGTTTTGGGTCCAAAAAGATAAATATTGGGCCAGACAAGCCCAGCCCAACCCAACCTCACACCATGCACCTGCGCCCAAGCCCAGCCAACCCAACTGGACAGACGGCGGCGGCGGTGTGTGTGTGTATTTGTTTTGAGTCCAATAGGTCTAGCCCATTACATTACCCTTCCACAAAACTTGGGTACCCCTTGGGGCCTTCCCCAAGTTGTAAACCCAAGGCTTATAAACCCATACAAAGTTAGCCTAGCCAAGCAATATAGGACAAGCTTTTCTTCCTTCAATTTTGGGAAACCCACCAAAACACCATTTTCATGGAGCTTACTTTGGCTTCAATTTCCTATTCACCCGATAATGATTTTGAACAACCAAAAATACAACATGAATCGTTACGCGACAAAGAACGCATTGCCACATGGACTCGCCAACTTTGGCTCATGGGTCCCACTTAAAAATTAGACCAAAGTTATGAAAAATCTGCTTTTGCTAACCATTTTTCAAACAATTTCTTATAATCCCCCACATGAATGGAATTTGATAACAACGAAAATGCAACAACATGCAGAATTTGTCAAGAGAGTATAAAATGAAAATATCTTGCATCAAGTTAGCTAGCTTTTCGCCTTGAATCTTCCCTAATGATAACCTATCGGACTTACTAGCTAACTAATGGACACGATGCCTTGAATTGTTCAGCCATTAGTGTAAGCCAAGACAATAAATTTCATACAAAATATCTTCTGACACATCGTGGTTCTCACGGTTGTCTTCATTTTGACCCTAAACGTTCCTGGTTATTCATGAGGTGCTCTAGAGAATTTAGCATCTTTATTCTCATAGAATTATATAGGTGACTCTTATTGAAAGTATCACTTATACTCATCTTGACTTTTTATTCCTAAGTCAAGATATAAGTAATCATTTAAAGCAAAGCTTACCCTTAATCCCTTGCATACAACACATGTTGCAGATATCACTCTCATCATAGGAATAGATAAGGAATTTTAATCCTTTAGTGATTTCTGATGAGCCACACATAACTTAGTTGTCTCTTTAAACTTAGTTCTTGAAATCTCCAGTCATTTAAATAGAATTACCCTTATGATGA